CCCCCATACGGCCTAATGCAAATGGCAATCTGCTTCCTTTGTCTTCATCCAACCTCTCTGCAAAGATGAGACGATCCATGTTACATTTGTGGCACTACCCAATCTGAATATGCAATTCAAACCTCCTCTCTAGTATGTCTGCAGGCCATAGAGAAAGCCCCAGGACACACAACCCAGCTCTGTCTTCTCACTGCCCACACAACAGCCCTCTCACCCTACAAGGCCACTGCACATGTGGCAACGGTAGCCTCTACTTCCCCCCTCCCCCTCCCCATCTCGTCTGTACATAACCTTGCCTGGGCCAGCTCTGCATGGCCTTCTCATCCACCCTGACCAACTCTGGCCAGCAGGAAATGTGTGGTTACTGCTGGCCTGGCGACACACGTATGTGATGGCTCTGTGCTGAAGGCCTAATTAGGGAGCTGGACATCAATGCACACAGAGGTAGGGTGGGGACAAAGTCATTGCTGGCCTGGGAAGCACCATCAGTCAGTCATGAGCACTGGAGAAGGCCCAGGGCTAACTCTGTCATCTACCTGTGCTTCCCAGTGTGGCTGCTGGGTCACTGTGCTCAGCTAGGGGTCTGTCTGCAGGTAGATAATGGTACAACCCCAGTGCTTCTTATAATTAACCATTATCTGGGGGAATCCTTCCTTCTCCTCTCGTGCCACCAGGAAGGGTCTCTGATCGTTAACAAGTGTTCTCTATGAAGAAAGAGGGCTGAGCTAGAAACACCAGAAGGAGAATATGAGCAACCTCACTTGCCCTCTTTTCTGGAACAGAGAGTAATACACTGTTAAACATCTGGCCTGTAAGTGGGACGCCCCCTCTCTCATCGCTAACTCACCAGAACCAGCTCCAGAACACAGGCTGCAACAGGATGGAGAAAAAATGGCTTCTGCAAGAGAGCCAGGCCGCTTCCCTCAACACATCCCATGTCTTCACTCAGAAACGCTGCTCAGTAGTCAAGGGACTCACTAACCAGAGCACCCTCTGCTCAACAGTATTTGAAACAGTGTATTAAGAAGCACCCAAGCCATGAAAAAGCAAAGACACACATTAGAACGCAAAAAAGTGATCTGTTCCAATGTGGTCTGGCAGTTATGGGTTTAAAATTTGCACAACATGGCCACAAGGCTACAACCCCAAAATGCAGACCACAGAAGTGCACAGGCAGGGACCCCGTTTGGTCCTCTGTCTGTCCCCCTTGCCCCACAGTGACAGGTCAAAAGATGGTCACTGATGGCATGGATGTGGCTGGGGCCTCCTGTCTCCGCTCAGTGGTCCTTCTCTGGAATATGCTTTCTCCCTGCACTCCAGTGAAAGTCCCATTCAAGCTTCATGGCCCATGTCAAGTGTCACCACCTCTCATGCCTTGCTGCAAACTGAAGTCGCTCTCTGGGCTCCCAGGCGTTTTGCCCAGTCCTGTCTCTGTCCTCCTGTGCCCGGTGCCTTCTTGTGCCTTTGCCCATGCAGACATGCACAGGATGACCTAGCAGGCTCTAAACCCTTGGAGGACAGAGACTGCCTTACTTTTTGTTTTTTCTATCTTCAGAGATTATCCGACACGATGCAGTAAGTGGCACACACAGGGACACAGTGGATGATCAATAAACACTGTGTGAATCAAGAGATGAATCAATGAAAAACACTGAGGTACTCTCAGATCTGTTACTCTTGGGGAATGATGCTCTGAGATGTCACCTTCTTCTCTCAGGTGGGTGCTGGAGAAGCCTCCGCACATAAGTCCACCTCCCACATCAGAAAGAGTCTCAATCAACGGATTCCACAAGACAGACACAAACCCAAGCTTTTAAGAAGATGAGAAATATATAAATAACAGAAAAAAAAAGAGAGCTGAGAAAAATAAGATGCAACTTGATTCAAAATATTTAATTTATCCATACAA